TGTTCTGTAGCTGTTATTCATCAGGCGTGGAGACTGACAGGGAATAACAAGGATTTGCACCAGTAGTGGATGTGTATGTTCTGTAGCTGATATACACCAGGTGTTGAGACTGACAGGGAATAAATTACAAGGATTTGCACCAGTAGTTGATGTGTATGTTCTGTAGCTGTTATTCATCAGGCGTGGAGACTGACAGGGAATAACAAGGATGTGCACCAGTGGCGGATGTGTATGTTTCTATAGCTGTTATACATCAGGTGTGGAGACTGACAGGGAATAACAAGGATGTGCACCAGTAGTGGATGTGTATGTTCTGTAGCTGTTATTCTTTAGGCGTGGAGACTGACAGGGAATAAATAACAAAGTTGTGCACCAGTAGTGGATGTGTATGTTCTGTAGCTGTTATTCATCAGGTGTGGAGACTGACAGGGAATAACAAGGATGTGCACCAGTAGTGGATGTGTATGTTCTGTAGCTGTTATTCATCAGGCGTGGAGACTGACTGGGAATAACAAGGATGTGCACCAGTAGTGGATGTGTATGTTCTGTAGCTGTTATTCATCAGGTTTGGAGACTGACAGGGAATAACAAGGATGTTCACCTGTATCGGATGTGTATGTTCTGCAGCTGTTATACATCAGGTGTGGAGACTGACAGGGAATAACAAGGATGTGCACCAGTAGTGGATGTGTATGTTCTGCAGCTGTTATACAACAGGCGTGGAGACTGACAGGGGATAACAAGGATGTGCACCAGTAGTGGATGTGTATGTTCTGTAGCTGTTATACAACAGGTGTTGAGACTGACAGGGGATAACAAGGCGGACACCAGAAATACGTTTCAGTCTTTGTACATATGTGGGGAATCGAATTATTTTGCTTTTGCCACTTGGCTATCCCACCGTTTCAATGAGCAAAGACACCAGTACGAATCAGATTTGAAGTGTCCTTTTTGGGAAAAATATGAGGATTTAAATCTACTTTTTTCCACGTTTTTGCTTGACGTTTACCTTTGAATCGGCCAAGTGTTGCTGCTTTATTTGAATCGCTATTGAGTATTTAAGCTCACTTGGTTCGAAGGACCAACGTGAGCTAATGCCACACCGTGGCGTCTGTCGAAACTAACGAAATTTGACTGGAAGCATCCCCAGGTGGGGGGAATCAAAATGGTACAAATGGTGGGGCTGACCCCCCAAGGGGCTTTGAGGCGGGGCCAAATAGAGGTACATTGGCTGTATTGCTTTAAGCGACTTCTCTGGAACGAGGGTATAGATATCAACCATATTTGTTTGGAAGAATTCCCCGGGAGTGAGGATTCAAATTTGTACAATTTGACCCCCTAAGGGGCTGAGGGGCGGGGCCAAATAGGGGTAATTTGGTGTTATTGCTTCTTCTCTGGAACTCAGAGATGGACATCAACCATATTTTGTTGGAAGGTATTCTCAGGTGATAGAAATTCACAATTGCACAAATGGACTGACTACGTAAATATCCAGGTGAGCGACACTGGCGATATGGGCCTCTTGTTTTGTTATTGGAATAGGGCCGCCTCCGTGGTCTAGAGCGGTGAGCGGAAGGCCTGGGGTTTGATCCCCGGCAGCGTCATACCAAAAGACGTTAAAAAGATGGTTCTTGGTGTTACCCTGTCTGGCGCTCGGCATTACGATCTAAACCAAGGACTGGTCGGCATGGTATCTCAGTGAACTAGCACTATTAATCGGCATCAGTCCGGACTAGTACAAGCAGCCACACACACGCACGCACACACGCACGCACGCACGCACACACACACACAGGCACACGCACGCACGCACGCACGCACGCACGCACGCACGCACGCACACACACACACACGCACACACACACACACACATACATGCACGTCGCTTTATAAGTGCAATAATCTTGGACACGACGTTAAACCCCATTTCACCTCACCTGTTATTGGAATGCAATTTTTCTTTGCTATCGCTGGCACCAGTCAAAGCTCCCCACTGTGTTAGGTGACCACAACCATGCAACCGGCAACCGACTGACCGTTTTGTTTATAAACAAGTAATGACTTCAGTGACAATGAATATACACTTACCCCAGCTAATTATTAATGTTTCGTCAATTTGAATTGTAAGTCGTATCAACTATCATATAATTGGTACGGAAGGAATGCAAGGGGGAAGTTGGGTGATTTTATTAAACTGGTTCCATTGTTGGTACGCAACGCAAGTTTAGCGCGATTTAGTTTAGGTAGACAGGAACCCAGTCTAGTGATTTCATGTTAGCCTGCAATCTCGAGAGAGTGAAGAGCTTTGTCATCGCGTTTTGATTGGCTGGCTAAAAATAATTGACGGCACTATTTTCGGATCGGGGACTCGTCTGGTACAGGAAATCCCCAGCTGTCAAAACATTACCGTAGTGATGATGTTTCCATCTCCCTAAGTTGGTGACCGAGAGTAAATTTGTGGGGGAGGAAGGTGTGTGATATGTGGAGATGTATCAGAGAATTTCGGCTTCCCAATGTACGAGATTCAGTTGCAGAAAGACGGTAACCGAAGCGAGATACCGCATCGATATCACGGGACCAGGTGATCAACTCTGGTACATTCTTTACAGGGCGTTTTCAAGACTGATAAAACAGCTAAAGAAACAGTTGATTAACTCATGAAAAAAATACTGCTAAAATAGTGTACAAACCATATTGTTTTTGTTATTTTCAAAATATATAACCATCAACCACATAAGAAATTTCACGTTATAACGAAGGTTTGATCTTGAGCCGTTGGATCAAAAATATATTTCATAGTTATATTAAAATAATCAAGACTTAAATTTCTTATTTGAAGAAAATAAACACGCAAATCATTGGGATCTAAAGCAATAATCAATGTTAATGCAGGGAGCGATCAATCTTTGCCGGATGGACGGTTGGACCGTACATCTCACAACCAAGATATTTTGCAACCACAGCAGTTGTTTCCCCTTTCTACAGGTGGAGTTTATCCAGATCAATATAGTTAATTAATTGTTGCCTTTAATTATTTGGTGTTTTTTTTTTTTTTAACATGAAGACTTCAATTATTTAAACATACTATCTCAGGACAATTAAGAAACTCACTTTCTATCACCACGTTTAAACTTGAATGTATTAAGTCATACCTTGATCTATGTAAACTCAAGTATGTAATATATGTATTTATATTTTGATTTCTAATAGGGAGCAGACAAACTGATGAAGATAAAGATGGTGAGCACCAAATCAACCTTATTAGGTGTTTTTTTTCAACATTAATTTTTTCAACAATTATTTACATTTATGCATCTTAAAATATATGTTGTATTTTAGATACGATGAAATAATCTCAAAATTAATTTCATATTATTATTTTTAGGTAGAAATTCAATATTACAGTTAATTATTTTCAGAATTAACAGAAAATAAAGAGTATTAAAGACATGTAGAATTATGTTTGTCTCAAGTATGTTCTTTAAACCAACGATTTATTATTTACCATGTTTACTGAAAAAAACACACACTTCTTTAATAATGCAATTGTCATATTATCATAGCAGATAAAGAGACCAAATATGCATAGCTAGCTTAATTTTAATGATAATTATTTAGCATTTCTTGGGGTGATAAACTGGTCATATGACAAAATAAGCAATGTATTTTTTATGTATTATTCCCCCATTACAGGTTTACAGTGGTCTATTTTTTCACATACTCTAATTGGCTGCCTGAGAATGGAAAGCTGTGTCGCTGGTAAGAAAAACTCAAATTTATGGGTGATGAAGAAATAACCAACAGTACGCGGGATTGTGCGAGGTGACTTTCGTTGATTCACGGATCGTATATACATAAATGTGACATGTAAGTAATCAGAAACATTCTGACAATCTGTTTACTGTTATTTGTTGTTATATTTCCATTAAAACCAACGGAAATAGTCAGAAATTCCGATAAATACCGTTGTCAAGGCATCACACAGGACGGTATCTTTGACAATTTCGGTTGAAAATATCAAATGATAGCAATGTGTCTATTTTCAATTCCCTAATTCGTCCTATGATCCTCATGCATATTCTGAACGAATGGACGAATGGATAGCTCAAAATAGGGGAAAATGCATCACTATAAAATCTGTATTTTGCTTTGTTTACATTTCAAACAAGTGCAGTTTTTCGAGCACAGCGTTCGTTTTCACACCTAACTTATTTTCTTTGATTTTATCTAGGCACTTTGTATTGGTGTCAGAGACCATGTAAGGATGTATGTATCGCAGCTGAGTTTGAAATACACGTAATGTTACACGCGTCTCATTTCCGGTACACGTGTTACGTGATTTTGTAAACACTATCTAATATGGCGGAAACATCACAGTACACAAAACTGTGAAGTGTATCTGCGTGTCTGATGAATTTTGAATTTTATTCGACTTCAACGCGAGGTTTGGTGTCCCTCTGGCATCCTGCCCCTGGGTATAAAAAAACAACAACAAATAACCAAAAGCCTATCTATAGCTCTGAATTCATCTGTGAAATCTGGTCAGTCGTAAGAGCCTGATTGAAATGATGAAATGGGAGAGAGAAAATAAATATCTCGCCAATCAGAAATATTTCTTTTTAAAGTTTAGCAGCAATAATATGCATCACATCTCTATAGAAACAGATGTATATTTTGCCTTTGTTAAACTATATCGCCCACATGAGTGCTGTACTTGCATCCTATTTAGCAGAGAAAACAGCCGGCAGCTTTAGTGTTTAGACCTTAGCCGGAATGCCGTGACGTCATCGATTAATTAAAAATTCATGACGTACAATTGACACAGAAATATATAACGACATGCATGAATATATCACGAGGTGCAGTGCTTAAAATACCAATGACACATCATCTCTATTTACCCTTAGTCGACAATGTTCCAAACACAACAAATGCCAAAATGTCTGAAAACATTTTTACAAGTTGTATATTGACATCCAAAAACAACAAACAGTTTCACGTAAATAAAAACATATTTATACACGACGACGTGAACGGCAAACAACGTCACTGTCACGTCACCTCCACTGACGTCACTGAGCGCCTTGGGACACGAGGAGATCCGCCACTCGCCTATGTTTCCTGAGTCTCGCCAGGTCCAACGCTGACATCCCAGTGCTGTCCCTGGCGTTGATGTCAACCACGTTCAGAGACAGCACGAACCTCGCCGTCTCGAAAACTCCTCCCAGACCGACATAGTGAAGGATGTTGCGATCTTCATCGTCCACCAGTGACGCATCAGCTCCTTTACATAACAAGAACTCCACCATGTATTTGTGTCCCACTCCTGCTGCCCACATCACCGGTGTCAGGCCCCACAAATACCTACAGTTAATGTCGATGTTCAGAGACAGGAGCCACTTCACCTCCTCCAGGTTCCCGTGCTCGCTGGCCCCAAAGAGGTCCGCGCAGTCTGCTGGTGATAGAGTCGCTGTAACACAAAGTAAACTCTCTACACATCCAGACATCTTCGTCATACATCTACATTGTTCACACCTCGAAGTGTTGATACGTGACACGGTACGTTATCAAACGCTTGCAACATGGCTGGCAATACAACGATCAAGGGGAAGGACGACAGCTGGTTCATGTAATCAAGCATTACGTATTCAATGTTTAGAATCTTTGTCACTTCCAGTTGTTGTAACATCAGTCTCTGTATGGCTGGAGAGTGTCAACGTTTGATGGACTGAGCTTTATAAGATGATGCTGTCAGTACAATTGCTGTTTGGAAATATTAGGATAATAAGACATGACATTGGTTTATGTCAGTCTGTTTGTTTGTTGTCTTGCGCCGCTCTCAACAGGAGTCCAGCAATAAGATGGCGGAGTCTGATACAGACAGTCCAGTGGTTGACAACATGAGCACCGATCGACACAACTGGGATACGATAACATGCAAGAAGCAAGTCAGAACCCTCACGGGTCTATACCCCAGCTTGTTAATTGTTAGAGGGATTAAAGTGTGGGCTTTCTACCTGCTGGGTACTCCCACCTACCCCGTGTAGCAGGCATTCTTCTTGTCGTTACTGATGTCCTCGCGGTCCGACTCAGATCACGCAAAGCTGAAACACAGAACATGCTGTTCAGAAAACTATACAAACCACATAAGCAATATACATACTATATGTTCGAAAAAGTTTGTGTATTTAAAATTTTGACTGATGAATACAATTTCAAAAGCATTCACCTTACTAGAGGTATAAATATAAGGTCGTCTGACTATCCACGGGTGCTGAGGTTTGCAGATTATGTTACTGAACAGTGGGTGGAGAGTGATGGCCGCAGCATGTGGAACCACTTCGAGACAGTGGGTTCCAGAACCACAAACACTTTGGAAGGCTGGCATTGGAAGCTAGGCAATCGGACGTAGCCATCCAAATATATTCAAATCCATTAACATTATGAAAAAGAACAGTGTTATGTAGAGTCACGGCTCCTGCAGATCCAAGCTGGTGGGCGACTTCCTCCAAAGAGGAGGAAGTTGGCAGGGCTCAAGTCTGTGGCAAGTGAATTTAAATGTATGTGAAGTGTAAATAATTCATTTAATTTCTTACTCTAAGTTTATATATTTTGTATGTATGAACAAATGTATGATTTGTAATGTATGCTGTATGTACATGAGAAATAAAATAACAAAAGCCATGTTGCCCTCTTTTAAATCCCTTTTTAATCATCATAATCCCTCTATTGTACACTTGTCAGTAATGGTTGTGTAATGTTTAACCCAGAACAATAGGTGCCGGAAAACCGAGGTGTCCCCAGCCAAAATGTTACGGGTCTACATGTCTCCGGACGGGGCTCCCAAGGTCAAGATCACAAGTTTTAATCCGCTTAACATAGCATTGTTGGGCGGCCATCTCTTGAGCGATGTTACCATGCAGCAAACGCTGTTTCATATTAATTAGTGAGAGATGTTATTCGATATTTAAATTAGCGTTTTAGTGTATGGCATTGAAATCATGGTAGCTTAGCTGACAAACAAAATGGCTTCTGCTAAAAAAGAATCACTTTTGATCCTGTGCTTTGTTTTTTATAATCTACAGCTGTAAGCTTGCGGAAACTAGACTGTCTCTAGTATAAATTGCAACAGTTGCAATAGTAACTATGCAAACACTGCAAACAACCAGAAACCCCAGAACACGCACTCATCCACTGCACACACTACCTAACACATCGAACCTCATTACAAACCACCCTCAATCTAAACAAGGCTCTAACTCTAGAAGCAATACTAAACCCACAAAATAAACTAGAAAACTTCAAGGCCTTAGGCGTATTCTTAATAAAAACAGAACTAATAAAACGCATCTAAAAACACAATAACCTACCAAATCAAAATCACATAAACAAACAAACATCCACCATACCCAGCTCCCTTAGTTCTCCTCCCCAATCCCATCGGCATCTATTCCAAATTTCAAAATTCCCAAATTCTATATAAGCAGCCCCTAAAACCCCCCTCTTGGGTTGCACAGACCACTTTCGCCCCTTTCGGAAACACATTAAATGGACTGGCCGGGCCCGTGTGCGAAATACGCATCAGTCGGAAAGTGCACGTTAAATCTCCAAAGTAAGTAAGTAAGTAAGTATAGTAACTATGAAAACGTGTGTTTGTGTGTGTCTGTGTGTCTGTGTAGTCCAGTCTCCAGTCAGAATTTTTTGGAGTCAGTTTTATGTAAGATCTCATGATCGATCCAGTTACTAACCATGGCCACTGCTAGTTATTTGCGCAAACATATCAGATGAAATAAACATACAATACATTCTCGTTTAGTAGAAACCTTTAAGTAGAATGAGACCCTGATGTAGAGACCTTCCTTTGTCCCGGGCATGAGATGTGTTATTTATTTTTCTAAATAACCTTTCTTCATTCATTGTGACCAGTTATAAAGTGTGTATGACTAATGTATTGCCAGATTTTAACAACAGATGAAAACAAACCATTTTCACTAATATAACTAACTCTACACAATTAACAACGTCCTCAATAGATTATAGGAACGCATTTCTGTTAACATTACCGTTTTTACCGCAATGAATATTCCAAAGCTTCATTTGGCATATCTTCAGTTAGGGTTGGCATCTTTGCGGACTAAGTGGGGGATGACGAGACATTTCATCTCAACACTAATATATACACGTAGCTCCAAATATGTTTTAAATTCCATCATACAGAAAATTGTTAACCCAATTATTACTGCTTGACGGTGTATGTCAAAGGTACAATATTATTTCAAGCGAGACATGTAAATCTGTAAGCCACACGTTGAGGTGCCCTATACACACCATCATGACATGTCCTGTAAACCCTATGTTTACACGCCCAGTTAACTCTTTGCTGACATGCTCAGTAAGATCTATGCTGACATGCCCTGTAAACCTTATCTCGATATGCTCAGTAAGTCTTATCTTGACATGCCCTGTAAACCCTTTCTTGACATGCTATGTAAGGCCTATGTTGACATGCCCACTAAGCCCCATGAAAAGATGTTCTGTAAGCCACATTGTTGACATGTCAAACAGACCCTATGTCGACATGTTGACATGCCCATAAGCCCTATGTTGCCATGCTCTGTAAACTTCATGTTGACATACACTGTTAACCCTATGTCGACATGCCCAGTAAACCCTATGTCAAAATGCTCTGTAAATCTGCTGTCATTTTTAATGCTACATACATTTTTTTTAAATGAGCTTAATTTACGGTCTCCACATTTAAACATAGAAAGTTTAGACACACTTTTAAAGGCTGAAGAAGGCATATCCTTTGCATAAATTCGATTGATTGAAATTCAAGACATACATATATGCTTTTTTTCAAAGGAAATAATATATATATAAACATCTATCGCATTGCATGTTAAGGGAGACGGTTGTAAATTCAGCGACAAAACTGTTTCCCTAATCATAAGAAATCTCTGCTAAAAGTCTCACCTCCTGCAGCACCAGGAAACAAAGGGGGCGATGTAGACAGCAACGTTTCATTAACATCGTTCTTTTTAATCCCTTCTCTCATCACAAAGCTTGTCTTCAGCGCCATTATGTCCTCTGTAAGGCCAGTGATTCTTTGCTCTGAATCATGCAGATCATCAATGGTCCGATTTAAGTGATTGTTTAAACTCTGAATGTCAGTACTGAACTTTTTCTGCATTCCCCGCAAGCCCTCCCTGCATGATTGTTTTTCATTGATGAGTCGTTTAGTCACTTGGCTCATCTTCACACAGCTTGTATTCAGTGTCATCAGATCCTGTCTGAGAACAGTGTTCACTCTCTTTGCAACACGAAGACCAGCTACCGTCTCATTCAGCTGCAGCTGTAAACTATGGACGTTTTTGGTCTGCTCGCCACGTAGTTTTACAAAACTGTCTTTGAATGTGTCTCTTTCTCGTTCAACATGCCTGAACTGCTGCGTTTCTGCCTGAAGTTGTGTCTTCGTGTTGCGTACAGTCGCTTTTAGGTTGTTGACTTCATCCAGAACACTTCCGCTAATAATATCCTCAATGTAACCTTCTTTCAGAATGCCAGTAATCGCTTGTTTCACTAGACCCTTCATAAAGGCAGGAATGAACGTGTTAGTTAAGCTCTCTGTCAGTGATGACTCCAACGTGCTAAATTTATATTTCATTTTAGTCTCAAGATTAACAGCTGTTTGTTCCCAAGCGTTGATCTCCCCATCTAGTAGCTTCGGTTGGCCAGTGACAGCTGTCAAACTGGTGTCAGCGTGTACGTCACTGACACCACACAACGACACAAGACCGATGACTATTGCAATGGATACCGTCTCCATGGCGCAGTTTACTGTATACGGCTGCACTGATGCGGGATATATATATACCATGGTCCGACTCAAGTGTTTGGCCGAAAGCCAGCTCAGGGAAACAGATGCTCTATAAGTACTTGTCTGTACATGAGGCATCATTACAGCAAACATGACTAACAGCTTCCTCAGAATATTGTGTTTGATACACGGAATACTTCTGACGTTTGCGAATTTGTATTGTAAACAGGCTGCGCGAAACACACTCAAACAATATCGTGTACTTTAATAGACAGTACATATTTACATTCTCTCACAATACTTTATCGTGGATCCAACAAACAAGCCGACTTACTAAACCATCCTATATAAGAAATTCACGTGGCAGCGTGAACCGTTTGACTTTGCAAGGATTATGATTTAGTTCAGTTTACATGAATTGTTAGTGGTAATATCAGAGCATCAGTCATTGCAGAAAGTCCCCGTTTAGGCAAGTTGAGTTCATGGCAAGCCAAGCCGATGTCAGTGTGACCTTACATGAGAACCACAGTTAGAAAAAAAATAAGACAGGTCATAATAGTTTATGTAAATAAAAAACTCGGCCTCTACGTGCTTGTAAATAAATGTCATCTCCACTGACATAAATTCTTCCATCTGCTCAGAAAAGTTGGAATTAGCTTTCTCCTGTGAACATGATCTCTTTCAGGTGAATAATTGACATGCCTATGCATGCGTTTGTTACTGGGGTCAACTTGTGGGGCTCATCGTTTCATCACTATTTGATAGTGATTCATAAACACATGCTCAGGATATAGTCTGAATCGTACAATCGACTCTTATTTCTTATGAATATGGAAAGGGTTTTGTGGCATTCATGTTCCATGATTGTAACAACTCATGTGCCTCAATTTGTAAAAGTGTTCTTTGCCTCTACGCCAAAGATTTCATAGGTCAGGCAGTTTTAATGTGAAGTTTCAACAGCTAAGAAGTATATTTACTGTTATAAAATTCTCTTAGTATTTATATTACACAAAGAATAGCATTTATCGCTGTTTGTACCCAGTATGTATGCGGGAGAACACCGTTCCCACCTTTATGATATATTTGTTTGTAATCAGTATGTATGCCGTAGGACACTGTTCCAACCTTTGTGAGATATATGTGTGTAGTCTGTATGTATGCGGGACGCTGTTCCTACCTTTGAGATATATATGTGTGTAGCCTTTGTGAGATATATATGTCTAGCCTTTATGAATGCGGGCCACTGTTCCCACCTTTGTGAGATATATGTTTGTAGCCTTTGAGAGATATATGTGTGTAGCCTGTATGTTGGACATTGTTCCCACCTTTGTGAGATATATATGTTTGTAGCCTTTGAGAGATATATGTGTGTAGCCTGTATGTATGCGGGACATTGTTCCAACCTTTGTGAGATATATATGAGTAGCATGTGTTAGATATATGTGTGTAGCCTGTATGAATGCGGGACAAGGTTCCTACTTTTGTGAAGTATATCTGTGAAGTCTTTGTGAGATATATGTGTGTTGCATGTATGTATGTGGGACACTGTTCCCACCTTTGTGAGATATATGTGCGTAGCCTGTATGTATGCTGAAAAAGGTTCCCATCTTTGTAAGGGATATCTGTGAAGTATTTGTGAGATAGATGTGTGTTGCATGTATGTATGAGGGACACTGTTCCCACCTTTCTGAGATATATGTGTGTAGCCTGTATGTTTGAGGGACACTGTTCCCACCTTTGTGAGATATAAATCCACAATCCACAACTAGAAATAGCAGCTTAAACAAACGTGCTCAACCCACAACTTAAACGCACCGTTTCAACCCATACCTGAAACCCACAGTTTCAACCCATAGCTTCAACTAAATCCATCATAAGCTTCAACCCACAGTTGAAAGCAACAGCTTCAACCCACAACTGAAACCAACAGCTTCAACCCACAACTGAAACCAACAGCTTCAACCCACGACCAGCAGCGTCAACCCATCAGTAAAACCCACATTCCACAACTGAAACCCACAGTTTCAACCCACAACTGAAATCCAAACCTACAGCAGAAACCCAAAACCCATACCCCACAACAGAAACCAACAGCATCAACCAGCAACAGACAACTGAAACCAACAAACCACAACTGAAACTCACAACCCACAGCTTCAACCCACAACTGAAACCCACAATCCATACCTTCAAACCACAACTGAAACCCAAACCTAAAGCTTCAATCTGCAAGTGAAACCCACAATCCCCAACTGAAACCCACAGCTTCAACCCACAACTGAACCCCACAGGATCAAGCCAAAGCTTCAACCTACAGCTTCAACCAACAACTGAAACCCACAATCAACAACTGCAACCCACACCTTCAAGCCACAACTAAAACGCGCAGCTTCAACCAACAGTTGCAACCCACAACTGAAACCCACAATCCACAGCTTCAACCGACAACTGAAATCAACAACTGAAACCCACAACCCTCAACTAAAATCCATTACCCACAGCTTCAACCTATAACAGAAACCCAAAACTGAAACTCACAATCCACAGCTTCATTCCACAGCTGAAACCCACAACCCGCAACTACAACCCACAGCTTCAACCTACAACTGAAACCAACAATCCACAGCTTCAACCTACAACTGAAACCCAAAACTAAAACCCACAGCCCACAGCTTCAATCCACAACTGAAACCCACAGCTTCAACCCCAAACTGAAACCCACAGCTTCAACACAGAACTGAAAACAACAGCTTAAACCAACAGATTCAAGACACAACTGAAACGCACAGTTTCAACTAACAACCGAAATCCAAAACCCACAACTGCAACCAACAGCTTCAACCCTGAACTGAAACCCCAAACCCACAACTGAAACCCACAATCCACAACTGCAACCAACAGCTTCAACCAACAACTGAAACCCGCAGCTTCTACCCACAAATGAAACTCACAGCTTCAACCCACAACTGAAACCTACAATCAACAACTGCAACCAACAGCTTCAACCTACAACTGAAACCCACAGCTTCAACCCACAACCCACAGCTTCAACCCTCAATTGAATCCTACAACTGAAACTCACAATCCGTAAATGCGACCGAAATATCAGAGAAAGAAAAGTTATTTTGAAAAGATAATTTTTTTTACAGAAATGTTTTCATGGCCGAACTGGTAGTTCAACGAGCACGCAGCCCATTATGCCGTGAGTAGAGTGTTGTCAACACCAACATTCGAGACCGTTACCTCCGCTCCTTGGCCAAGAAACGATATCCTGACATCTATGAGGTAAAACACAACTGAAACTAACAGCTTCAACCCACAACTGAAACCCAAAACCCACAACTGCAACAAACAGCATCAACCCACATCTGAAACCCACAACCCACAGCTTCAACCCACAACTGAAACCCACAATCCACAACTGCAACCCACAGCTTCAACCCACAACTGCAACCAACAGCTTCAATCCACAACTGAAACCCACATCCCACACCTTCAACCAACATGAGATAGTACGACAGAGTCCGCGACGAATGTGAAGCCTGCACATGCACTTAAACGGACCCTGCACAGCTCCTCCCATGAAATACAGATACGTCAACAACGTTGCCAGGATCCGTGTTCAAGGCTGATCTTAGGAATCACCTCACGTCGGCAATTCAGGACACAGACAATATATTCATGTACATTCATGCATGCCTGCATTCAGACTGCAGTACACGGTGTCCGTTCTGTAGAAGCTTAGTCTTGTCGTATGTACGATATTCCGGCATCTGGACATCGATTTATTGAATTATTGGGCGATTTTTGTCCCTATCGCGGCACAGATATTAGATGTCTTGGCCCATGACCCATATTTACGGCCTCTCATAATCTTATACAAAAACGGAGTCCAACTCGAGTTTAGAATGATTGGGAAAGTCTAGATTGCCTCAGCTCTACACTGAATTAAGAATTGTCCTATGCTCCTGTTGGATTTTATTGTTATTTTGTAGACGTAGATAGACCAACGAGGAAAGATATCGATTGATAATTAATATCACATGTTACTGCTGATCCAGTTAAATTCATCACAAAATAAAATAATAGGATTGGATAATGTTGAATGGGTGATCAAGTACATGCTCATTGGAGTAATGTACATACTAGTCAAATTGATTATATTAAAAAGGCGAAAGTATAGCGCTGCATCAACGATGTACTACATTAGGGGCAGTTCCGGTGTCAGTAGACACAAATTTAGTCCCCGAAATAAAGTTGTCGTAGTTACAAATATATATAAATGTAATATTCTTCAAAATAAAACACAATGGAGCCTAGAACAGTGCTTACTTTCAGGGGTAGAACTGAAGCGATACAGACTTGCAAGATCGTTATAGACTTGATTGATATCTATACATATTCAATAACAGCCAAAGCAATTCTATATCAAACTAAACCAAGTCTTGTTTCCTTGATTCCATATATGAACAAAGCAGAAGAGGAAAGGTTCTTTTGAAAACAAAAATAATGTTTGCTGAAAAGAACAAGAGCACCCGGGCAAGGGTAAAATGTGGAGATTAAAGCATTACCACCTCACAACAATCTGTTATATTAGATAAATGTTATTGTCATTTGAAACCTCTGAACAATTACGAGTTATTATATACTCTGTAATCTTTCGTCATGGACAGCCTACGTGGTCAATCAACTAATATTCCCTTCTTAAACAATGCCCGTTACAGGCATTCATTATATTGTACCATAGACCATAAAATATAGTCTATTGTATTCTCTGATTATACTATATGTAGTTTAAATGTCCGAGGGTGTTGAATAATATTTTATTTTTGACTGTTGTTGAACGCCACACTCGCAATACGCAATATTCCAGCTATATAACGGTGGTCTTTAAATAATCGAGTCTGGAGCACACAATGCAGTGACTGACATCATGAGCTTCGATTAGGATATGCATTAACCAAGTCAGCGAGTCTGACCACTCGATACCGTTAGTCGCCGATAACGACGACAAGCATGGGTTGCTTTGAATGTATTCCAACCCAGATATTTACAGGTATATTTTTAAAATAATAAGGTATCAAAGTTAGGATAAATAAGTATAGTTGTTGTATATAT